AGAACTTAAGATTCAAAACTATGATATTGATGAAAAAGTTTGCCTAAAATTATTACTTTAGATAATTTGAAACCATTTAAATGCAAACAATGTTTTATTTTCACATCACTAATTTGTATAATCATTCAGTGGCAGTGCTACGTATTACATTTTTACCATAGTAAAGGTAATCATCCTAAGATATATAAGAAATCATCATTACACTGACCTTGTTTATTGCTGTCAAATGAACATGGTATATAACAAAGGCCCCTGAAAATCCAATCACAATCAAGCCAAATGCAGCTATTGCCAAAATTTCGGGGCAGGTCTTTACCATTCGCATAAATCTATTGACATCCCTCAACATTCTCTGAAGTAGCCTCCAACAAAAGAAGACAATTTTGTGTACATAGAAAATAACGACGAATATCGCAAATTCCATCTAAATTGATGGTTCCTCTGCATGTACTAACATTAAAAAGTTATTATAAATCAAGATGAAAATTTTATTATCTAGGGAATGTTAAAGTTGTATGTAAATTGTAGTTAACCATACCACTCTAATGCATGGACCGATCCAAGGGTAGTGCTGATCGTATCACTTAACACAATTGTCAAAACTTGCACAATGGCAACTTTTAGGTGGCCCAAAGATCCTATAGACTCAACAATACTTCCAAATTCTTTTTCACCCCATTAACAATTACCTTTTGGTTCTATCTCTGGTACTAGTCTCTTTAGAAGTTTCTAGGTCCTTTCTAGGAAAATTTCAATGGTCGGTTGTGCTAACGACAATCGAGTTGATAAGAACCTACCTTAATGTAACAAAAATGGTGATGAATAATATGGCTTGAACCAATTATTAATGCAGCAAACATGGATACATTGATCAATTTGTTGAAACTCAATTACCTCTTCAAAAACAAAGGAAGTTTAAACATGTTTAACAATGATGTTGATTAAAGACCAAAAATGAATGTCAAAACATAACAATGAGGGCAAAGTGATGTGGCATATCTTTCGTAACACGTGGCAGAAATCTAACTTGAAAGAATTATAGAAGCAGTGGTCAACAACATTAACCTTCTTGGATCTAGACCACATATAAGTAGCCCATGGAAGAAAATGGATGAAAGAGCACAATTTTAGCGACAGTAACTTAACTCACATTGACACATAAAGAGGGTATACAAAAGTTGTCAACTTTACATTCTTCCTTGGCCTACTTGAAACACTCTAATTGTGTCCAATTTTTCAGTGACACCAGATTTTAGCAGTTGACCTTCACAAACCCTTTTCATTTTAATCAACTTCACCCTTGAAATACTCACCATACTCTGATTTCAATAACCATCCTTGTTCTCAACTTCAATTACTTTGTCTCTGTTGCATCTTTCAACATCTTTTTCTTCCACTTCCCCCACGTAAAGCAATGAATTTCATCTCTTATATTTCAATTTCGGTTGCTTTAGTTTCCTTTCCACAAAGTGAAAGCAATGAAATTAGTTTCGGAAACATAAACAGTTTGGCAAATAAATTAAATAACCAGTCATTCAAGCTATTATTAATATTGTTATTATTCGGTCAATCTAACTCTAGCTATCCACCTCCATATAACATATACCAATGTGAGTGCCCTTTTTAAATAAGAATATTTTTAAAAATTATTTTACATAAAAATATTTTAAGACCTTTTTTTTATAAGTTATGTTTCCTTAATATTTAACATTTATTTTTTTATAATTTTAAATTTTTGAAAGTCTACCTATTTAATTTAGTTAAGAAGATATTTATTATTAGTAATACAAATGTTTACTCTTTTTATATTTAAAAATAATCATAATATATATAATTTTAATTCAATAAAATATCAATAATATACAAAGATATCACTGATTTATTATTATTTCAGCCAAGTTAATTCCATTTTAAAGTTTTTTTTTTCTAAATTAAACTTTTAATATTTTTGGTCAACTGAACAAGCGGTAGCCCTGTTACAAGTAACGATTGGCCCAATGTGTTGAGGTGTAGCTTTACCCAATAAGCCCACCACGGCATCCATGGGTTAAAAGACACGATAAAATAGAAAATGGCCACATTATATGTTCACATATTCATAATGCTATTTTGAAATGGGGCCATTTTTCCATTTTATAATTGAACAGGAGAAAGTCGCGTATGTGCCAGTTAGTTTTTGGTCCACTCATGACATGCAACTTATTATATCACTGGTTTTATAGTTTTATTTTAAAGCATTTTTCAAGTATTGAAATGTTTGTAGTTTTTCTGAAAAATGAAAACATTGTAGTTGAAAATATCTAGTCAATCTAAAGATCTATTGACAATAATAAAACAAAAGTGCATAAGAAAGCTACATTCTGCAAATGGCATCCAAGTTATTTCTATACTTTTTTGGGTTAGAAAGGTGTTTCTGTACTAATAATGAACATTTTTCAACTAATAGGTTGTGGACTTCTTCCGTGCCCAGTATTAGCCAATTGTCTGGTCTATAGATATAATAAAGTTGTCTGATAGTATGTTTAGTTGGAGAGAGAAAAGTGAGGGAGAAGAGAAGCGTTTGGTCAAATGGGAGATCAAAGGAGGGAAAAAAAGAGCCAAGTATGTTCTAATCGAGTAAAAAGAGTTCAACTAAAGCGAGGAGATTAAGGGGAAGTGAATGTTGGGTTTTCTTTCTTAATAATATTTAATTACATTTTAAATGATGTATAAAATATTTTTAAAAATTTTTGTAGGATAATTTTTTTATTTTGAAACATAATTATAAAAATACAATTTATAGGATTAAATTAATTTTTATTATCATTATAAAACAAAATAAAAAAATAAATATGAAACATGAGAAAAATAAACCTTAAACATATATCTAACAGACAAACTGAAAAGAATATTTTGAATATTAATATGAGAATAATAAATCATAACCATATATCCACACGTAAATAGTTATATAATTATTTTTAAAATGTTATGCAATTTAAAATTTTAATTTTAATCAATCGTCATTAAATTTAATGAATAAATTTTATTTGCTCCACTCATTGTCCATTAAAAAAATATTATATCGCATCGCAACTCATTTCATTAGCTAGGAATTGAAAATAGAACTAAAATATTTTTGAAATCCAATTTAGGTAAGCAATTAAGGAATTCATTATAAGAGAAAAATAATATAAAAAATAAAACTTCTCTTATATTTTATAAATAAATTATCTCTTCAATTTTTAAAAAAAATGTAAATAAGAGTAGTTTTTAAAAAATAATTCTAATATTTTTTTTGTCAACTTATAAAAAAAACTTTTATTTATTTTGTATACTAATTTTTTTTATATATAAGAATTAAGTGAATTTCATTTGTAAAACACAAAGTAACCATCCGGCTGTTCAATTATGAGTCCTCGAAATCCAGAAAGTATGCAAACAAATGATACAAGTATGCAACTATTATGATTCAATCTCCAAAAGAAACCGAGCAAATTGAATATGTAACATGTAAACGTGTCTTGCATTTAACTGCTGACATGGTCGTGAAGCGTTTTACCGTCTGAAAGAACAAATAAAACACTGTTCAAATCCCAACTAGCAATTGTAGCTGCAGTTTAGTTACACTAAAACCAGAAAGACCTCAAGTTCACATTTAAACTGAGAATCCAGCCTATCATACTGCAACACTAACCAGAGCAAAACCAGCCACAAACTTTTTCTAGAAAACATTCATCCACGCGCAGAAGCATCCAAGAAAAAGCAAAATCTAGTGACCAGGTATTCATTCTAGAAAGAAAATTGTCTCCCTCAGACAGATTTTGTGAATGGTGTACTAAAATTAGATTCGTTATAATAATGATAATGGCTTCTAAACCAAAACAAGTTCTAGAATGGTGGAAAGTATATGATGCACATAATGATATCCTCGAGTCACTATCATGCTAAGCAGCAATAAGTCAGTAACAGATCAGACGCATCATAAGACAGTTACTTGTTAAACAAACATCAAGTTTAGATTGGCTGGAAAGGTAAATTATCTATTTGAAGTTCAAGTTACTCGTCTATTTCAAAGTTCAAACTATAAACCATGCCTTAGGTGATTAATCTGGCTATATGAGCAAAATCGCTTCTTCCTTTGCACGATCCATGTTTAACAACTTCCAGAATACAGACTAACTAAATATATTCATTCGTTTCATAAGCAATATTATTTATCAGATGTCAGCAGTCAATTAAACCTTGCATCTGTAACTAAGACCACATTGTCCCTTTACCTCTGTATATTTAGGAAATGAAACAGTTAATTTGTCAAAAAATAAAAATAAAAATCAACCTGCCATGCTTGCAAAATCAGCACCAAATATCAATTCGTCAACTAGAAATCTCCAGGAACAGTTAATTTGTGCATTAATTTAACTACTTGTGAAGAAATAAATGCATATGCCAAGTAAAACATGCTTAGAAAGGATTTAATAAATAAACACCCAACAGAACTACATAAAGAATAAAATTGAAAACAGATTATTAACAGGACCTCTAACCAAAACATTCCATGTCTAACAATCTTTCGTATCAGATTAACAAACAAGAACATTACTATTTACTACTTCACTAGAAACACAAAAAAGTAAATCACTAACATCACACATGCAGCACACCAAAGTAACACGTTAACTGCTATTGAAACAGAACCGTAATAAAGTTAGCATTAATAAATCACAGTACGGAGGCAAAAATCACGAACTAAAGGATTAATGAACAGTCCCGCAAGCCTCTAACCTACGACAAAGTCCCTGAACAATAAATTTAACATGCAAATGTTAATGTTAAAACAAGCAAATGCCTGCATTATTGCATCCGTAAGTAGGATCTACATCGCGAAACATACTGAAATTGGAGATACCAATTTCCATATTTTCACGAGAATTATATAATCTAATAAGCATTAAACGAAAGCACCACCACAGGAAAAACATCAACGCAGGCATAATTAATACCATGAACTGAATATGAAATGTGATTTCACTTTATTAATTTCACCCCTATCTGAGTAAGTTTTTCACACAATTCAACAAAAGTGCTACATCTGCACATCTAAACTGCTCTACATCCTAAGACAGAAGAATCGCTTCAGCCTTTTTTCCGAATAAGAGAATTCAATTCGCGACGAGAAGGTCACTGGCGAACGAGTCAACAACCAGATCGGGCGAGTCCGGGGAAGGATTCACAGGAACGAAGAGAATGGACTTAGCAGCCATGAGTTTCTTCCGCTGCGGGCAGCGTGGGCCGTAGATCCTGGCGACGAAGAAAGGAAAGCCGGCGTCGACGGCGTTGACCTGAGGCTCGTCGGCGTTAGTGAGCGGCGAGGATGGAGGGATCTGAGAGAGGGAGTTGAGACGGTGAGATCTGGCGCTGATTCGAGAGTCTCGGATTCGAGCGAGAGCACCAGGCTTGAGGTACTTGTGAAAATGGTGAGGTATGGATGGTCTGGTTCTACGGTTCATGGCGTCTTAGAAAGTGGATGTAAGTGAGAAGCGAGAATCGGCGGGAGAGGGAGAAAGAGAGCGAGAGATCGAGAGAGAGGTTGGAAATGGTGTTAAAATGGAGAATGAGAGGTTAGGGATTTTAAGGAGTGGGGGAGAGGCGGGAAAGGGGGAAGAGCGGGGTTGGGTGAGGGTTTCAAAACAGAGGCTCAAGGAGGCGGGATTTTAACATCTTTCTGTTTTTGCCTCCTTCCTTCCTTCCTTTTTTTTTTTTTTTTCTTTTCGCGACAGTATTCGTCAACACACTTCATTTTTGCACTTTCTATTTTTTATTTTTTTTCCTCTTGGACTGTACCTTTTTTTTTTCTCTTAGGAAAGTAAATTAGATAAATTTAAGTGGCACCGTTATAGGTAAAAATATTTTCATTATGAATTGAATAACCTGCTACTTCTGATGGACTAGCTTGAATGGACTGAATACTTCAAATTTTTCAACTTTAATTGTCGATTATGATTATATTTTAGTATATGATTAAATTAAATATTTTAAAAATATTTCTTATGAAAAATAAAATATTAAATAATTTTTAATAATTTTCTAAATTTTTTTCAAAAATAAGTAAATATTTTGACATAAAAAAGTAAAATAAAATGTGTTTAGTCTTGTAAAAACACAATACCTTGTAAGTCATATTGTTTCCCTTGAAAGTGAAGTTTTTAATAATTTATATATTTAGTCCTTCCATTTTTGTGATAAAATATGTACTATCGTTAAAATTTTATAAATTTTGTTAAAACTCATTAAGAGTGGATTTAAGTATAGAAAAAGTAATGCATATTTGTTATAGAATCAAATATCAGTTAAAGTTGTATAAAAAATCATATATACGTTTTTATATATTCTTTTATTATTAATAATTATTTAAAATAAATGTTAAAAGTGAATGTTAACATCCTTCGTATTTTATATAATTTCTTAGTTAGAATATATGTTATTTTTAATCTTGTATTTCTATTAATTTAATTTCTAATCCTAGTAAAATTTTATTTCTTTTGTTTTTAGTATTTTAAAATTGAGTATTATATTTTTATATTTAATTTTTTTAATTTTTCATAATTTGTGTTATAAAAAATATATTTTATATACATAAATTATATAGATCAATTTATAAATAATTATTTTAACTTAACATATGATTTTTTCAAAATTTAATTAATAAAACTATATTAATTAATTAATTAATTAATAAAACGTATCATATTATAGTAAACTATAAATTGTATAATCAATTACTTTTATCTATTTTTTGTATTTTCTTGCAATTTTTTTTCAAATAAACTCACTATATGCTTTATTGCACTTAAATATATTGTATTATTTTTATTTACATTTAAAATTAACTTGTAAAAGTATTAAAATTTAATTTCATGATTATTAATATATATTAGTTATTGATATTTAATTAAAAAAATTAACACTGTGATAAAATATTAAAATATATTGTAATTTTATTACAATTTTTATCGTTTTAATATATACTATTAATGATTATATATTTAAGTTTAAATAACTTTAAGACAAAGCTATTATTAATATATATATATATATAATATATATATATATATTATTAATCAGTGAAAAATGAATTTTTCTTGGACCAGAGACAATCATGATTTTAATCATTTGGGCTTAAAAACATATTGTAATTTATGATTGAAAAAATAGTTTAAAATAAAATATACGCTAAAATGAGTGTTAATTTATAAATGAGTAAACATGATGAATATTTTTGTTCTTTTTCCATTCATTGGAACCATTTATTATTGTCATTGTTACTGATAAACTTTTATTAACAATGTTGTTGTCATTATTTAACCTTCATCGCTCTGTTATATATTAACATTATCGACAAAAATCTCATTGTTTTATCTTAAAATTCATATTATTGTGGTTATCACTCAACCTCTTTTCATCATTGATGTTATAACCCTAATTATCAACCAACGTTCTCACTTGATAATCCATGTTATTATAACCAGTCAACACATTTACTCACCTTCGTTAGTATTACTTGGCTTTTACCACCTTTAATCACTGTTTTTATTATTTTAAATCATTCATCCTTGTCACTTAGTACCGCTCATTTCTACTACTATTGCCTAATACTACAATTCTACTCTGTTACCAATACCCTCAAAATCCTAATGATACTACCACCCAATAATCTTAGCTTTATTATTGTAATTTAGCATCCTTTACCACTGTTACACTGCATAATGCTCTTGATTACAAATATTATCACTTATTTGTCTACTAAGACACTACTATTATTGTTGTTACAATTATTAATTATTTTTTATTCTTATAATGACTTGATATTGTTTATTATCACTTAACATTTGTTATCACCAAACACCTTTTAACATCACTACTATTATTTGTCATTTTTCATTAATTTTATCATTAGACATTGTCCATGTTATTTTTATTTTTTAAAACAAATCAAACGTACAATGTTTAGAATATATATCTAAAAAATTTAACAATAAATACATTAAATTATGACAGGAGTGAAATTTTATCACTTTTATATAACTCATCATATTTTATATTTATCTTGCAAAATGATAATATTAAGTAATATAAAGCATGTGGCAATGAATAATGTCTACATGGCCCATTCACGATCGTCTGTAATGTTTTCATGTGACGGTTTAGGCACAGAATGTTGTCTACGTGGCCCATTCACGGTCCTCATTTTTATTTTTTTTTAAACTTCGATGGTCCAATTATCCATGAACTCTCGTTCTTCCAAACTTGATTAAAATGGTTTACATCAAATATGACATATATTGCTGAGAGGCAATATCAATTCGAGTGTTTTGTTTAACTTTTATTGTGTTGTTTTGTGAAAGTATTATTCAAGACGACAGATTTAGTCAAACACAAAATATTATAAAACTTGGAGGCTTTAAATTAGTATGATGTAACTTTGCTTTATATATAAAAATGTTTTTTTCTGAAATAGCAGCTAAGAATTAGGAACAAGCAAACGATTTCTCTAACCCATCGTTTATACATATTTTTCCTCCTTATCGTCACGCAAGAAATAAGAGTTAAACAAAACATTCGTAAAAAAAATGCCACCCAGTTAACTAGGACCATACTAAACGATCAATTCGGGTTCGGACATGCTCATTTTTCCAGCTCTAAATGTATGTTGTTTTTGCTGCACTCACATTAAAAATTTCCATGAATCAATATTTAGTGTGTAGCACATCTCTATATTGAAATTACTTACTTTTTTCCCAACTGACCACTACATGTACGACATAAGAGACGAGATACTTGTGAGAGGAAAATTATTTGTAAAAAAAGAAAACATGCATTCTGCACTTCTATATTATTTTATAGGAAACTATAAGTCTAAAGACTATATATATATATATATATATATATATATATATATATATATATAGAGAGAGAGAGAGAGAGAGAGAGAGAGTTCAAATTCAAAATAAAATGCATTTTTCATAGAGGAAACAGGTTAATGACTTTGGATGTCCAAGAAGCAAAATGCAAATTGGTTCGAATGTTCTCCGCTGAAAGTTCCTTTATTAAAAATGGGTGGCACCATTTAGAGAGATTTTAGAAGGAAGGAGGAGAGAGGATATTTTTAAAATTAAATATATAAAATAATATATCAACAAAATCTTAATATATCAAGTATGTATTTATTATCATTTTGATAATAAATAATATACAAATCTTTTAATTTAAAATTAAAAAACATGACTTTCTTTCTTTTTTATCTGAAAAAAATCCCTCCTCCCAAACAATCTATTAATAAACAAGGAGGGAGCAAACCAATCTCATATATTGAATTTTTTATAAATATATTTTAGAAGAAATAGTTTTGTTGAAATGTAGTTAGATTTCATGTATAAGCATTTTTTTTCTGAAAATAGTTTGAATAATAATTTATTACTTTATAAAAAACTAATCTCTTATAGTATATCCGATACCCGTCGTCTACTGAAATTTGAATTTTCACGAATGAATTTTTAACTTATTTACTCATTTTTAGTCTTACACGCACACACACATGTTATATAAGGTATTTGTGTTTCTTACGTTTTTTTTTTAATAAAACATAATATGTAAAACACTAAGTAAATAGAAAAATTATTTTAAAATTATTTATTTTATTTATAAAAAAATTCGATACAAATTTTTAAGTAATTAAAAATAACTAATAATATGCATTCATCGTTCTTTATTAGCTAGCTAATATAGCATGATCCGCAAATATTTAATTTTTTGTCTGAAGAAACTTTATTCAAACATATCCTTTTTTTTGGGTAAGAAAATCATCCGTCTTTTATTATTTATTTTTATAAAATAACCAAAAATGTTTGCCTTGGAATCGTCAATGTTTGCGCTGGGCCTACCGCCGAGTATTTATTCTTGGTCTGCTTCGATGGCTGAATATTTTCGTACTTTCTGAAACTCTTTTAGACATGGACCGAAAAATAACCCTCAAGACACGATAAGTAAACCAAAACAAACTATCGTACATTGCAGGTGCATGGCTCACCATCGACCCGCGCCATTCCGTCCTCGCGCGTTGAATAACATGAGGCACATCCGGCACTTGCGTCGCGATTCTGATTAAGTGAGGTGGAACTTACGGTGGGAAAAAAACAATACTATAAAACTAAAATATTGACACGAATAACGAAATATTACTGAAAGTGAGGTGAACATTGACACGACGATAAAATATTATATAATAAAAAAGAATAATTCGTTGCAGTGAGAACGAGAATGAAAAATCAAAGATGGTGATGGCACGTGGAATGATTCGTTAGCCTTAGAGGGCTAATAATAAGAATACGGTGTAGCTTTCTCGCCAGGGATGCGAATAGTTGAACGAGACAACTTGACCTCGCCACTTGGGGAAACTTGGCAAAATTTGCCTAATGAATTCGAAGCACGAACCGGGAATTTAAAATAATATATTATGGAAAGAATATGTATATAAAAAGTAAGCATGTGAAATAATAAAATCAAAATTGAATTTGTAATTTTTTCGTGATTGGACGTGAGGATTGCAGAGCGTGGAGACATCCGCACAGGAACAGGTTTGGGTCTCAATAAAATGGGTATTCCTTGGGGGTCTTGTAACAATAGAAAAGTCGAGGCACCGTTATTTTCTTCTAGAAGGAGCCCAAGTATACATTCGCTTTCCACACGCCTCTGACTACTCTCTATCGCTCTCT